GTGGACGGGGAAGGTTGGCGATGCGTCTGCGTTCCGTGTCTGGGGATCTCGGGCGTTTGTCCGCGACTTGTCTGCGGACAAGTTGTCCCCTCGTGCAGCTCCTTGCGTCTTCCTGGGTTTCCCCCCTGACGCACCAGGGTGGCAGTTCTACCACCCCACCTCTCGCCGTGTTCTGTCCTCCCAGGACGTCACGTTCGACGAGTCGGTCCCCTACTACCGGCTCTTCCCCTACAGCACTCCGTCCCTCCCACCGCCACCGCTCTTCCTTGTCCCAGGTCCCCCCCCGGTATACCCCCTCCCCCCTCAGGGTCCTGCCCCTTCAGGTGTGTCCCAGGTAGACGCTGTTGAGCCTGTCGAGGTCACTGGTGACTCTGGTGCTGCTAAGGGTGCTTGGCCTAGGGGTGCTGACTCTGGGGGTGCTGAGCCTGGGGGTGCTGAGCCTGGGGGTGCTGAGCCTAGGGGTGCTGAGCCTGGGGGTGCTACGCCTGGGGGTGCTGAGACTGGAGGTGCTGAGCCTGGGGGTGCTGAGCTTGGTGGTGCTGGGCCTGCTGGTGCTGTGCCTGGCGGTTCTCTGGGTCCTTCTTCTTGCCGAGAGCCGCTCTCTTCACAGGAGATGCGTGAGTGGTTTGCCCGGCGCTGGAGGAGAGCTGCTAGAGCTAGAGGAACTGCGGGTACTGGAGGTTCTGTTGCTGCTTAGGGAGCTGGTGCCACAGGTTCTGGAGGTGCTCGTACTGGGAGTACTGGAGCTGCCGGACCTGCGGGTGCTTTTGGAGCTCGTGCTGCTGCGGGTGTTGGCGCGGAGTCTACTGCTGTCGGTCTTGCTGGGGTTACTACTCGCGCTGCTGGAGGTCCTGGAGTTGGAGCTGCTACTGGTGCTGGTGCTGCCTGTGGAGGTGCTAGTGCTGTCCCTGCTGGGTCTGGAGTTGCCGCGCGGCCTCGACCGTACTTCGTTCCGCTCCTTCAGCAGGTTCTTGGTCTCCCGTCTTCCACTAGTCCTTCTCCTCCCTTAGAGTGTCCACAGCCTGTCTCGTCGCAGTTACAGTTACAGCCCACCTCCCCACTGCTTGCTCCGTCTCCCTACACTGGTCCTACTGGAGGTCTTACTGACCGTCAAGAGCCTGCGTCTCGCCCTGCATCGCCTGTCCGTGCTGCCCGCACTAGTGGTCGCGGTTCGCGTCAGCGTCCTCCTCCAGTCCTTGGCACGCACCGGATGTCTCTCCGTCCGTCCACTACTCCTCTGCGTGCCCCTTTGCCTTCTCCTCCTGAGTCTACTCTTCCTGCTCTTGCCGACCCGGAGTCGGACTCTCTCCATGCTGCCAGTCCTACTGTCACGCGTCTCCTTGCTACTGTTGTCACTAACCCTTCCTTTGAGTCCGCTGCTGCGTCTGCCTTAGTTGTTGAGCTGGTCGACTGTGCTGCCGCGTGTCGTCTAGACTACGCCGCGAATCTTGTTGCTGAGTCTAAGTCTGTCTGTCTTCCGTCCGTCGGTGGTGAGTGTGCTCTTGGCACGGACGTCCTTGAGGACAGGCAGGAGGAGTTTGAGTGCTTTGCCGCCGCTTTGCCCCATCTCGTGTCCATGCTTGTTGCTCCTGAGGGAGACCCGTATGCTCCAGACATCCCGACCCCACGCTCTTACGCAGAGGCGATGGCCGGTCCCTACTCCTCTCAGTGGCAAACAGCTATGGACGCAGAGATGACTTCCTGGAAGTCCACAGGCACCTACATCGACAAGGTTCCCCCACCTGGGGCGAACATCGTCAGTGGCATGTGGATTTTAGGGTGAAGCGGCCGCCGGGTTCTCCGCCTGTCTTCAAGGCGCGTTACGTGGCTCGTGGCTTCAGTCAGTGGCAGGGAGTTGACTTCTTCCAGACCTTCTCCCCGACCCCGAAGATGACCACTCTTCCGGTTCTGCTGCACGTCGCCGCTCAGCGTGACTGTGAGCTCCACTCTCTTGACTTCAGCACTGCTTTCCTACAGGGCAGCCTGCACAAGGAGATGTGGCTGCGCCGCCCTCCTGGCTTCACTGGGTCGTTCCCTCCTGGTACCCAGTGGAGCCTCCGGCGGCCAGTCTACGGTCTCCACCAGGCGCCGCGCGAGTGGCACGACACACTGAGGACTACACTTGCAGCTCTTGGGTTCGCTCCCTCCACTGCTGATCCGTCACTATTCCTACGCACCGACACCTCGCTGCCGCCGTTCTACATCCTCGTGTATGTCGACGACTTGGTCTTTGCCCCTGCGAACACTGTGGCACTCGCCCACGTGATGTCCGAGTTGTAGAAGAGACACACGTGCACAGACTTGGGTGAACTGACAAGCTATCTTGGCTTGCGGATCACCCGGGACAGAGCACGGCGCACCATCACCTTGACTCAGTCACACATGGTGCAGCAGGTCCTTCAGCGCTTCCGCTTCACGTACTCCTCGCCTCAATCCACTCCTCTGCCTACAGGTCATTCGCTTTCAGCTCTGCCTTCAGATGAGTCCGTAGAGCCGAGTGGCCCGTATCTAGAGCTTGTTGGCTGCCTCATGTACCTGATGACCTGCACTCGACCTGACCTTGCATACCCTCTTAGCATCCTTGCACGCTATGTCGCTCCCGACCGTCACCGGAAGGAGCACATGGATGCAGCTAAGAGGGTGTTGCGCTACTTGTGCAGTATGTCGGGCAAGGGGCTAGTGCTTGGAGGGCGAGACCAAGTTTTTCTCACTAGGCACTCAGACGCTTCTCGGGCTGACGACCAGGCTACTCAGCGGTCGTCTCAGGGTTACACCTTCAGTCTTGGCTCTGGTTCAGTGTGTTGGCGTTCTACACGCTCTTCTTCTGTTCTCAGCTCCAGTTTTGAGGTGGAGATCTACGCCACGGCCATGGCTGCGCAGGAGCTACGCTGGCTCACCTACTTGCTGACCGACCTTGGAGAGCGGCCTCGGTCTCGTCCAGTGCTGTACGTCGACAACAAGGGAGCCATTGCCTTGTGTGAGGAGCACAGACTGGAGCACAGGACGAAGCACATTGCTCTGCGCTACTTCCTTGCTCGAGAGTTGCAGCAGGGTGGTCAGCTTCGTCTGCGTTACGCGGCCACTGAGGCCAACACTGCTGATGTGTTCACCAAGGCGCTTCAGCCTTGTGACCATCAGCGCTTTTGCACTCTTCTAGGGCTTGTGCCTACTGGACCTCACTTGCTCACCTCTTGACCTTGCTTGTACTGTTACATATATCTATACCTGCTCTTGCTTGTCTAGCACTGTTATATATATGTACTCCTGCATGTGAACTGACCTTGTGGCGTTGAACTTGTGCTCTGAATGTGTGGTGACGTTGTGATCCACCCTGAGCTTGCTTTGCTTTGCTTGACTGGTTCTGTGACCCCTTGTTCTCCCCCACTTTGCCTATGGGGGTGTGTCAGAACATTATAGCTGATGCATGTTATCTAGGCTATAGTGGGGTAGCCCATAAGGGATACAACCGAATTAAGGTTAGTACTTGTACTTGTTTTCATTCATAGTTGACTGATTCACGTCCTGATTCTAAGATTTTAAAAGCACATAATTTCGTAGTGTATTTGAGGAAGACAACTCCCTTAGGATATGACAGGCTGCCTATTGTGTAGTTTTTTATTCCAACGAGCAGTCGTTTTGACAGTGCATCGCTTTGCGATCGCGCCCAAATCCCTCTAGCAGATTATTTCACATTTTTTCAATTCCTGCTACCAAATGTGTCAAAGGGCAAGTACGAATTTGACCTGGTTCAAGTTTAGTCTATAGTGGCAAAAATAAACTCCTCTCGGATGACAAGCCATTTGGGAGGCATCAACCATCAACGCATTGTCTCACGGTGTTTATGGTTGATGCCTTGTACTTGCCATGATATCCAATTAGCTTTTATTTTTCCCAGCTGCGATCTTGCTTTTTTACGAGACAAAATAATTTTAAATACCCCATACAAAAACAACAATCTGTTTTTCTGGACTCAAAAAGGGAAATTGCAAAATCATATACCTCAAGGAGCTGGACGCGAGTGTTAAAGCAAGGCGCTGTAAACACCACTGCCGAAAGGAATCGGAAATGAGAAAACAGGGCGATTCATCAATTCCTCCCACTCCCCGCTGACTACATCGACGGCAACAGCGGCGCGACTCGGCTTCCAACGGCGCTTGTGTATCAGATAAGGACGTGGCCCAGACCGCCTCTGATCGGCGCTGATATGATCGGGTTGGATCTGATCGGGTTGCTTCTGATTGCATTTCTCGCGCCGCCCGATCAATGCTGATATTCCTGGAAAGCTCTAGGCGCCTGCCTCGCAAGCGTGTCAGCATTTCCAGATTCTTTCGTCCCAATTTTGGCGAGTGCGAAGTCGTTGCAAATTTTCTGTTTCCACGTCATCTCGCAAATTACACTTAATTTAATCTTTGCGCGATTGTGTGACGATCTCAACGAGAAACTGTAATGTTTTCGCAAACGTCGCAAGGATCCCCATCCCATGCAATCAACTGATCGTGAATGATTGTGTGTGATCGTGATTGATTGGGGTGTTTGAGGCAATTTTTTGAGTTGGGGCGATCAATCGATCGCGATCAGCTGATTGCCCCTGATTGCCTGAAATCGGCACAGGGGCTTCCTGGAAGTTATCGATCGCCTCTGATAGAGGCAAGCATAGGCGGTCTAAGCCACGTCCTAATATTTGTTGTGGCAATCGGGAGGAGTGGGTCTGTCTTCAGGACAGCTGCGACAAAGCTCATGGTTCGTCGTTCGGGCAGGCTGCTCATCACGCGTTGTCCCAGCGGCACCGTCATGGGGCCCCGAAAGGGGGGGAGTCGCTCCGCTTGCTGAAGGGGAAGATCAATCTCAAGCATCTAAAGAAGGATTATGGGGTGTAGAGGGGCTATGGAGGGAAGGTGTCTGTATGATAGGGTCACTCGAGTCTGTACTTGCCTTATATGAGCCTGTTGCTTGTGTTTCACTCAGCCCGTGGATGCTTGGGGCTTCTCAGCGGTTTCCCAATGAATAAGGCTTCTTACCTGTCAATACGCGAGCTCAACGTTAACGGGCTTGGGAGCAGGGGGAAACAAAAACACCTGACGGCGTGGTTAAAGAAGCCACCCGACATCTTCGTTTTAATCGACACATGCATTGGTGCAGATCATGACTTCTGGAAGAAGCTTAAGGCTCCTCACTGTCACGCCGTTGGTCCTGCGGGGAAGGCAGGGGGAGTAGCTATTTTGAGTTTTAACAAGTCTCTCATTTTCACTAACATTGTCGCGCATGATTTAGGCCGACTGCTTCAGGCCGATGTCCAGTGGGACTCCTCCTGTTGCTCAATCCTGGCCGCTTACTTCCCGGCGAAGGCCTGCAGGCGTCGGTCTTTCTATGGCGGAGTGCTGACCTCGTTTATGGCGCACTCGGTGGGGAAGAAAAAAATTGTTTTGGTCGGGGACCTCAACATGGTGGAGGATCCAATCCTGGACAGATCGTCGGGAGCGGGTTCATCCGGGGAAAATAACAGTGTGTTGCGGATCTGTTCAGCGCACTGTCTCACCGACGCTTTTCGCTGGATGAATCCGGTGCTGAAGGAGTTCACGTTTCTGTCCAAATCTGCTAAGACCAGCTCACGCATTGATCGAGCTCTCGTCTCAGCGTCTCTGCTGCCGTCACTTTCCGGTGCGTCGCACTGCCGGCCGCTGAAGGGCCTCTCTGATCACTGGTTCGGTGTGAAGGTGACATTCAAGATCAGCCTGCAGCTATGTATGGGGCCTGGAATATGGAGGTGCAAGGCGGTGGAGATTGGTAGACCAGGTGCAGCGAAAGCGGTTGCGGAGGTTCGAGAGAAGCATGGAAAAGCGGGGTCGGGAGACTTCGCTGCGCTCATGAGGGAAATGAACATGGCGTTAAGGAAGTACTCTACCGAGGAGCGGAAACGGGTCAAGGCTACCCTTGCTCACTTGGACGCTGCGGTGGCGAGGTTACAGCAGGAGGTGATGAGGCACCCTTCTTGCTCCGTCCGGAAGGAGGAGTTGAAGGTCAAGGAGTCTCAGTTAGCGGCGTATCTTGCCTCCGAGAAGGAGAGGGTCTCTCTCATGGCGGGGGTTAAGGAGCTGCGGGAGGGAGAGTTGCCTGGCAAGCTCATGTCTGCAAAGGTTAAAACAAGGAAGGAGAGGACCATGATTACATCATTGCACTGGAAGGGAACGGTGCGTAAGGACTCAAGAGGGATACTGGAAGCTGCCTCAGAGTTTTACACGGAGCTGTTCTCAGAGCCTACCTCAACCACGGACAGTACCTTCTGGACGGTTGCCCCGGACAGGAAGTTGGGGGAAGAGCAATCGCAGCTGCTGGTGGAAGACTGGTCAGAAGCGGAGGTGAAGGAGGCTCTTGACGGTATGGCGAAAGGCAAGTCCCCCGGTGCTGACGGAATCCCGAAGGAGCTCTTCAGTCAGCATTGGGACTCGCTGGGGGGTGATGTGCTCGGTTTCGCGAAGCGGTTCGAGGAAACGGCCGTTCTTCCTCCCGCGGCTTTGGAGGCGGTCACTGTCCTGCTGCACAAGAAAGGCGCGAAGGACCAAGTGCAGAACTACCAGCCGATCACGCTGCTCAACAGCACGTACAAGCTGGTAGCGCGAGTATTGGCAAACAGGATGCGGAAAGTGCTGCACAAGGTCATTTCAGAGGAGCAATACGGGTTCTTACCGGGAAGAAGGCTGGCGGACGGTGTCTCACTGATCGCGGACATCGTCGATGCGGCGAAGCGCAAAAACGCGGATTGGTATCTACTTCTGGTAGATTTCCAGAAGGCCTTCGATTCAGTTTCTCGCGAATACCTCTTCGGCACGATGGAGAGGATGGGTTTCCCGCGGAAGTTCGTGAGGTGGTGCGAGGGTCTCCATGCAGGATCGACGACGAGACTGCTGCTGAACGGCTGGCTGGGTGAGCCGGTGGCGGTCAAGAAGGGGGTGCGGCAGGGCTGTCCGCTGGCGCCCTACCTTTTCCTTTGCGCGGTGGAGCCTCTCTGCCAGGAAGCAATAAGGAGGAAGTTGGGTATAAGTAATCCGTTCGGCGATCGCCTTGCGTACCTTGGGTATGCCGATGACACCACGTTGGTGCTCCAAGGGAAAAGGCAGATTGGCCGGGCGGTGAAGCTGCTGGATGAGTTTGGTGATAAGTCGGGGCTTCGCGTGAATATCGACAAGTCTGCTCTCCTTCCCCTGGGGAAGAACCTGCTCAAGAAACCGGACAAGTCATCAGGTTTCAAATGGGTGCGATCAAACGAAGCGGAAAGGGTTCTGGGGGTGTGGATCTCACCCTCGGGTGACGCGTCGGTGACTTGGGAAATTACTCTGTCACGGGCAGCGGCGGAGCTGGTGAAATGGCAAATACATTACCTGACGACGTCCGGCAGGGTCGCGGTGGTTAACGGGTACATTAATCCAATCCTCGCCTTTCAGGCGCAGGTTTACCCTCCTCCTGCGGAAATCTGGGTGAAGCTGGTGAAGCTGCTGCATAATTTCGTCACGGGCAACCATTCAACGGCAGGGAAGCATTTTGCTCTCTGGAGCCAGGAGTTGCTGTTCAAAGCGAGAGGGGAAGGCGGGCTCGGTGTCCGGGACCCGTGTGCTGAACTGGGTGGCCTGGCGGCCAGGAGGATAGCGCTACTGGCATCACAACCACTGGGTCTGCATGCCGACCTCGCGCTCACGGCTCTGGATGTTCCGGACCTGCAGGTTTTTTGGGCTCACGCGGGGCTGATGAAGCAGTGGGCAGGTCGGTGTGAGAGGTGGAAGCGGACGTGTGAATTATTCCTAGAGTCCAGTTTTCCTTCTTGCATCAAGGCCTCGTCGGTGTGGGAGGTGGAGCAAGAGATGCTACTGTTTAATCGCTGTCTGCTTTTGAATGGGAAGTCCCCCGCGGGTCGGCAGAAGGCGGCTAAGCTGCTGAAGCGCTCGGTGATGGGTGACTTCATCAAAATCGCCGTGGATGGCTCGAGGGCTCTGAAAAGCCCTCAGGAGCTCGAGCGGGCTTTCGGTGGGTCAGATGAAGCGAAGCTGGCGATGAGGATTTTTGATGCGGCTCCAAACGAGTGGAAGCAGATGCTTATGGCGCCTGTCACGGCGCGCACGGTGCTCACTGTATCTAAGTTCGTGCTCAAGGCGGGGACGAGTTACGGTGTCTGGAGGGTTGAGTATGTAAAGGGCGAAACCCTCGTCTGCCGTGCCATCAGATGCTTCCGGGGGGTCTTGGAGGAAGCAGAGGAGAGGACGCACAACTTTCTGCCGCATGAGGTGGTGCCTGCTGTGGTCAGGGAGGGGCGGCTGCTTGGTCCTGCGGGTGGTCCCAGGGCAAGATTGTTGTGCTCCCCCATCTGGGAGGGGGATCGGCCGGCGCAGCTGAAGCAACTCAAGGAGGGTTTCAGGCGGTTTGGCGGAAAACCAAAGCAGCAGAGCACGTGGGAGGAATCCCTCGGCCGTCCGATTGACTGGGGGAGGGTGATCGGGGTAAGGGACTCGCCTGCTCTCCCGAATCGTGCACGTGACGTGATGCTCCGGATCCACAGCCGGAACCTGCAGGTGGGGGAACGGTTACATTTTCTGGGCGCTGGGGTCGCATGCCCCCACTGCGGGGAGAAAGAGACGCTGGAACATGGACTGTTTCTCTGCTCGCGCATTCAGCCGGTGGTTCGGGCACTGTTGAAGGCGCTCCGTATGTTAAATCCGCATCGGAAAATTGAATCTCTGGGTGACGTGGTCTTCAGGAAGGAGGGGACAGCTTCGGGATTCCCCGAGGCTACGCTCACAGCAATCGTGTTCCACCGAATTTGGGTTGAAAGGTGTGACGCAGTTTTCGAGCGCAGTAAATTCCGGGCGAGGAGGGCTCTGCGGAGGATTGCGGCGTCCTTTCAGCTGCATGTCAGGATCTACAAGCGTGCTAAGGCAGTGTCTAAGAGGCTCGGTGCCATTCGTCCTGGTCTGGATGATGACGAGTGCCGGGTTTTGGGCCTATCATGGACCACTCAGCTCAACCAGCCACGTGGTCCAAGGGCTTCATGGCCATCTGGTCGAACCCGAGGGCTGCTTTCCGTCCCCCTTAGAGGATCAGGATGGGTACGGAGGGAGCGATCCCCCTAGGCCCATCAGCTCCAGTTACGACTGCCGATGTATTGTTGCACTTATAGTGTATCCCTGCATCAAAAAAAAAAAAAAAATTTGTTGTGGCTGGGCAGGCAGGACAGCCAAATGGTTTTCTCGGAATACAGTACACCTCACACACAGCCCACATAACAACCATCCAATAAAGTCCGTAGGTACTTCAAAAACTTCAATGCTGGATTGATTGTGCACTGACAAACTTGGTACAAACCGAAGGAAGACTTGTGCCAAAAACAATCCAACTCAGCAACATTTTGGGTTGGGTGCAGCAAACAGAGTCGCAAGCCGCGCCACCGCGACAAATTCGATGGAGACATGAAGGGGGCGGACTGACGGTGGCGGCGGCGGAAATTGGGGAAGGACCAGGAAGATGGGATGGGATGGGAAGGGTGGGAGGGAGATTGGGAGGGGGTGGGATGGGTGGGATGGGGTGGGATGAGAGGCGGTTTTGGGAATGGGGTCAGATGGAAATTGGGATGGGGTGGCTGGTAACGAGGAAAAGCACCACAGCAACGGCAGCTGTGATGCTTGTACACCTGCTATAATTAGGCCTGACAATGACGAGTCAAGCCACAGGTAGCATTATTAGTGGATAGGCTTATCAAGCCTTCACTACTCACGACGGCCTTTGCAGAAGCGTGCTTCTATAGCCCATCGAAGCTCGCGGACACGATCCTCCCGCTCCGTTGTAATAGATTAAGTCTTAATCGCGACACGTTCAGCCGCATAATATTGCAAGTCCAGGCCGAAACAGAAGATACAACAAGGCCATATCACCGTTTCTATCAAGTCGTTTCAGCTGCATCGCCCATCTACTCTCGGCCATCGTGTGTTCGCTTCCCTTTCCAAAGCCGATCCCGATATGATGACGTCTCGCCTTTCTTATCGGTTACAATCCTCAGCGGTGCTCCTTATTGCGACGACGATTACGCTACTGGTACCGCTAACCCTCCCTTTCCTTCCGTCAGCTGTATTCCCGCAAACTCTCCTCTCGTACCCTCACGGCACGCCGCGTTCCGCGCCGCAACACCCGTTTTTCGCGCGAGCCGACACCGGCCCAAACGCGACACTGAAAGCCGGAGCGCGATGCTTGGGATACACGCTCTGGGACCGCGATCAAGGCGCGTCGAAGAACCCCGGTCCCTTCTGCGGCTCGGGACTGCACTGCGTGTTCTTTAACGGGATCCCCGCTAAGAAACAGAGGAGCGCGAATGGCATCGGACGATGCGTTCCCGAGGGTCAAACGTGCCTTGGAAGTGAGAATTCGGAAAGGGGGTGACGTGTGGTGTGTGGGGGGGAGGAGTGGAGTGGGGGGAAATTGCGTAGGGGAACGGGGGATAAGCGAGGAGTGGGGGGGTGCGTGGGGGGCCATAGGCCGATTTGCCAAGGCGCGTGGAGGGAAAAGGGGGAAGGAACCGGGGATGGGTCCGGAAGGAATTGTAGCGAAACGGCAAGGTCAGGAGGAGAAAGCTTACGTTCAAAATTGGACCCTTCATCCTCTCATTTCCCCCTTACGTTTAACCCCCTTTCCTACCTTCTATCAGACGTCACGAGCATCAAGTGCGTGAGCGACTGCATGGGCGTGGATTATAGTTTTGAGGCGCCTCAAAACTAGACCCTTCATCCAGTCCTGTCCCATTTACCTTCCCCACCTCACGGCAGACGTGACGAGCATCAAGTGCGTGAGTGACTGCATGGGGCTGGACTATGCGCAGGGCCCGAACTGCGACTCCACTATCGAGAAATGGGTGTGCTACGCTGACGTGTGCGATCAGTGCTGGTACGGCTGTGGGCGGCACTGGAACCACGGCAAGAATGGGGCGAAATCAAAGGAGTCTGCTCTTTTTCTTTTAGCTCACACACACGCACACACGTTTGTGCTTTTAGCGTCCCCTGCCCTTTTCCTTCCTCCAGTCCTCCCTTCGTTTCTCAGTCAAGGTTGCTTTTGTTCCGGAAGCGAAGTCTCCTGCAATCTTCGGTTGCTCTTGTTTCTCTTGTTTTGCAGCTGACTCTGTGACTGCCCTGCGTTGCACGCCTCCACCCCTGTGCTGCACACTCCCACCCCTGTGTTCCACGTCCCCACCCCTGCATTCCATGTCCCCACCCCTGTGTTGCACGTGGCCCCCCCACCAGGCGCAAGATGTTCTACAGTGACTACCACTGGCCCATACAGGAGGCCAGCATGTGCGAGCGCACACAGGGCCCGCCCTACCCCTGCCTCTCTGCCGCCCAGTTGAACGCCTCCTGCCCTGCTTGCCTGGCCTACCAGCTGCCTACTCGAACATGCTTTGGTGAGAGTCTTTCTGGATTTTTGACCAGCGGGTGACCTAGCTCGCTCGCCTCTTTCCCTTACCTCTCTCAACTTACTTTCTCTCTCTCTCTCTCTCTCTCTCTCTCTCTCTCTCTCTCTCTCTCTCTCTCTCTCTCGTGCTCCCTGATGCACCCCCACACCTACACATGCACACGCACACGCACGCGCGCGCACACGCACGCGCGCGCACACACACACACACACACACACACACACACACACACACACACACACACACACACACACACACACACACACACACACACACACACACACACACACACACACACACACACACACACACACACACACACACACACACACACACACACACACACACACACACACACACACACACACACACACACACACACACACACACACACACACACACACACACACACACACACACACACACACACACACACACACACACACACACACACACACACACACACACACACACACACACACACACACACACACACACACACACACACACACACACACACACACACACACACACACACACACACACACACACACACACACACACACACACACACACACACACACACACACACACACACACACACACACACACACACACACACACACACACACACACACACACACACACACACACACACACACACACACACACACACACACACACACACACACACACACACACACACACACACACACACACACACACACACACACACACACACACACACACACACACACACACACACACACACACACACACACACACACACACACACACACACACACACACACACACACACACACACACACACACACACACACACACACACACACACACACACACACACACACACACACACACACACACACACACACACACACACACACACACACACACACACACACACACACACACACACACACACACACACACACACACACACACACACACACACACACACACACACACACACACACACACACACACACACACACACACACACACACACACACACACACACACACACACACACACACACACACACACACACACACTCACTCACTCACTCACTCCGTCCCCAACCCCGATCACCCTAAATCTTATGTATAACCCATTTCAACCCCCCTTTCCTCCTCCCACATGTACACGTGCCTGCCATTGCAGTTCCAGATTCCTATTGCCCTAACCGTGGTTGTGCCAAGTCTTACTGCCTCAAGGTTTACAGGAAGGGGTGGACAATCTGTGGCAAGTGTGCTGCGGGCTATAAGAAGGTGAAGGGGGGAAAATGCGTGCCCACTAGGGCATAAGGACTACAATTATTAATAAAGATATGTACAGATGTTTGGCTTTATCAAAGGGCAGTGCATATAATAGGCAGAAATCAAACAGATACTGTAATTATGTCTGGTCTGAACTTAACCTCCTGGATGTTGAGAAACACATTCTATTCTTACACAAACAAATGATTTGTACATAATGAAACCACTGAAATGTAGGTGCTACAGGTGCATGTGAACTTTATTTTAACTAAGAGTTCATAGATGACACACCCTTCAATGTTTCGGGAAGGGCTCAAAACCGGCGCTTGAAGGAAGGGCTAGCACAACCCATCATTTCAGCCGGATTGGTAAAACCAGCCCTGGAATTGACAAATACGTATGTGTCGGGGGGGGGGGCATTTCAAGAACATGACTGTCTGCCAAAGTTGGGGCTTCTGGGATTATCTCGACAACGTTTCCTGGTGTTTAGTCGAAATTACACCAGACCGGAAACTTTGACATGGCTCATGGATGACAGGTTTCACCTTGCTTAGTGATTTGGCAGTGTGATGTGTGGGACTTCTCTGGTGTGGTTGTGGTGCCTAGTCGCTCGGAGCCGCCAGCCAACGGAAATTTAGTTCCAGTCTACCCTGCCCTGGCCTCAGGCTACAGTGCTTCTCGTACACATACCTATGGGCAGCCGAGCTTCGGCTGCTTAGGGAATTGAGATTTGAGCGATCCTCCACGCACTGTACCTTTTTTAGCATTTCCTGAGCCTGTCCCGTTCATTCTCGCTCGAAACCCACCCACCAGTCCCAATAATATATTCATCGCTCTTAAACTTTTTTTGACCTCGTCAGACCACTCTGTAACGAACTTCATTGCGCTTCACGTCAGTGGAATCCAGTGACAGAATACTGTGTAGGGTCATTTCATCAGCTACTTTTTTTCCAGGACGCCTATGATCAGCAGCATCCTAGTTCTAGTACACTGGCATAGCACACATTCGGTTCTTATTCCCCCTCACAATGACCCCATTGCTCCCTAGACTCCACCGCATTAACGTGAGTACAATCCCTGCTCCCGTATAGCCCACACATGACACCTCTCTCTATCCTAGAAAAGTAAGGAGCTGGACAAGGAGCTGCAAGCTCATTCCCGCTGCTATACGCTAAGAGCGTCGCATTCGAAGTCCTTCTCTCTCTTCCGCTCCCTCCTTTCCTCGCTCTTTCTTTCTATCTCTCTCCCATTCTCCATATGTCCTCTCATGTCTCGCTCCCGATCGGCCATGCAAATGGCCCACACCGTCGGATCAAACGCCGCCGCAACAGCCGGCAGCACCAGCACTAGTGTCGGCACCGGCAGCGGCACCGACAGCGGCACCGGCGGCGGCAGCGGTGGGGGGGCTGGAGGCAGTTCGAGCGCAAGCCATTCCCGCGCGTCGGGCCCAGCGGTCGGGAGAGCTCGCAGCGACACCTCCGTTATAGAGATCATCAGTATTCCCGAGGAATCGCCATTCGACGCTCTCCCCGCCTCCGCTCTCCCCGCCTCCGCTCTCCCCGCCTCCGCTCTCCCCGCATCCTCCGCTGCTGCTACTGCAGGCGCTTCCGCACAATCGCTACACCATCCCCCCGCCGCCTTCACTCCAGATTCTTCTCACGAGTTCTCCGCCGGGATACCCGGCGCAAGCTCATCGTCCGCGGATTTCGCGCGCCTCCAGCCCCCCTCCGCCGACCCGCGCTCCCGCTCCCCCTCCCGCTCCCGCTCCTCCTCCTCCTCCGCCTCCTCATCCCGCACATTCAGCTTCGCCGCGGCTCGGGGCTTCTTCAGCGGCCGACTCGGCACGCTCTCGCGGAGTCATAACGACCCGCATCATTCCACGGACGCGACCCGACCGTTTCCTGACGCGGGTGGAGTCACGGAAAGCAGCGGAGGCGGCGGTGCGGCGGAGGCCTCCAGAGAGGAGAACGAGGTGCGGGGATGGCGGTCGTCGGTGTTCGCGCCGCTGCTGCTCCGCCCCGCGCTGCGGAGGCGCGCAGCGATGCGCGGGGTGGAAGAAGGGGAGGAAGGGGAAGAGGGGGAAGATGACCGCGACGCGAGCGAGGAAGCTTCACTCGTTCCGCACGTGTGTGACTCAGCGTGCTCCGCGGCGCGCGGATGCCCGAGGCTGCGCGGAATCGCCTCCGATAGTAGCGCCGCTGGCGGCACACACGCCCTGTCCGCGTGGGAGGCGGAGGAGCGCGAGCGGGAGCGGGCGCTAGAAGCGGCGGAAGCGGCGGACGGGGAGGGGGAGCGCGCGGAGGACGAAGAGGACGAGTACTGGGGGGTTTCGGGCGTGTCTATATTCGATAGCCCCCCCCCCGAAGCCATGCACGCGCCCATAGGGTTAGGGGGAGGCGGGGGGAGGCGGGCGACGGGGGAGGCGGAGTGGGGGAGCGGGTGCCCGCGGTTCCTGCAGGGGCTGCGTGAAACGGGGGGGGACTGGTGGCAGGAGAGGCAGCTGCGGTGGCGGAAGAGGAGGCGGGAGGGGGAGGAGGGCGGAGGGGGGGAGGGCGGGGAAGCGGCTGGGGGGGAAGGGGGTGGGGAGGAAGGGGAGCGCGCAGGGCAAACAACCAGCGGGCGTGGCAGCATCAGTACTGTTGGCAGCGGCAGCGGCAGCGGCCGCGGTGGCGGCGGTGGCGGCGGTGGCAGCGGCAGCGGCAGTGGCAGCGTCAAGCCCGGCGTCGCCAGCAGCATGAGCGCCACGAGCAGCACCAGCCTCACCAGCACAAAAACCTTCCGCTACCCAACCAGCGCATCCCAGGCAGCATTCCCCCGCGGCGCACCCTCGTCCCCCTATCCCAAATCCGCCACATACGGAGGCGGCGCGGGAAGAGCAGGAGCAGCAGGCAGCGGCAGCGGCAACAGCAGCAGCATCACGGAGTGGGGGCGGCAGCGGTGGTGGTTCGGGCGGGTGATCGACCCGCGGAGCCCGGGCATGAAGCGCTGGTCGCGGTTCTACGCAGGAGTCACCTCCCTCTCTCTCTTCTCCGACCCCTGCTTCCTCTACATGCTCTCGTTCTCAAGCGACTCCTCCTGCCTGTACATCCAAGGCCCGTACGTGATCATCATGGCTTCCATCCGCACGCTCTGCGACGTATTCTACCTCGTCAACTCGTGCCTCGCGCTGCGCACCTCGTACGTGTCCCGGCAGAGCATGGTGCTGGGGAGAGGCGAGCTAGAGACGTTCGCGCGGAAGGTCGCCGTGCATCACCTCACCTCCTGGAGCGGGCTATTCCTCGACGTTCTCGTGGTTCTCCCCATCCCGCAGGTGCTCTGCTTGATCGCTGTTCCGTATTTCCTCCTGCAAGCCAGCGAAGGCGAGTACGGGTACGTGGAGGAGGGCATCGGAATCATGCTCTCCTTCATGCTCCTTCAGTACTGCGTAAAAGTGTATCACACGTACGTGGTGGCGCGGCGGCAGCAGAGGGTCAACGGGTACGTCTTCGGCACCTCCTGGTGGGGGTTCGTGCTGAACATGCTCGTGTTTCTCATCACCGCGCACGGATTCGGAGGGCTGTGGTACGTGCAGACGGTGCAGTCAGCCATTCAGTGCCTGGTAGAGCAGTGCAATGACTCCCAACCCACCTGCACGCACGACTGGCTGACCTGCCCGGAGCAGTTCGCATGGGGGGACATGCCGCCGCCGCAGGACAACGCGCAGGCGGCGTGGGGCGGCAGCACCAATGTCACAGACAACTGCTTCCCGCCGTTCGGCACCACAGGAAGCTACAACTACGGGATCTACGACTTTGCAGTGCAGTTACTGAAAGAGCAGGGGCCTCCCGAGAAGATCATGTACGGGATTTTCTTCGGGATCATGACTCTTGCGACGTTCGGGAACGCGCTCGTACCGTCGGCGAGTATCGGCCAGTCGGTGTTTTCGCTGATCATGGTGATCTGCGGCCTGCTGCTCTTCACGTCGCTCATTGGCAACATCGAGGTGTTTTTACACTCCATGACGGCTCGCATCGAGGATATGCATCTGAGAAGGAGGGACCTGGACTGGTGGATGCAGCGGCGCCAGCTCCCCACGGATCTCCAGATGAAGGTGCGGCGGCAGGAGCGGCACACATTTGCATCCACCCGAGGCCTGCATGAGGAGGAGCTCTTAGACGGGCTACCAGACAGCCTTCAGAGGGATGTGAGAAGACACTTGTGCCGGGGGCTGGTGCGGAGAGTACCGCTGTTTGAAGCAGTCGACGAGGCTGTGGTGGATAATATCTGCGCGAAGCTGCGCTCAGTGGTGCTTATAGCGGGGACGCAGGTGGCCAGGCGGGGCGAGCCGGTCGAGGAAATGCTCTTCATAGCCCGGGGGCTCCTCAGGGGTTCCCGGGATGATGCTGATGATGCTGCTGCTGCTGCTGCTGCTGCTGCTGGTGGTGCAAATGGCGGGAAGTCTGTACGGGGGGGTAAGCGGCATGTGTCTGGGGATGGAAGCAGGAGCAGTGTGCAGGGCAGCAGCAGTAGTAGTCGTGTGGCGGGGGCCGGGTTTTCTTCCTTCACCAGCGGCTCGCGTGGGGTGAACTCCATGAGCTTTCGCCTGCCCTCTGCTGTGAGGTCTCTTGGGCTCCGATCTGCTTCTTCTCATGTGTCCTCTCATGTGTCCTCTCATGCGTCCTCTCATATGTCTTCGGCTGCCTCTGCTGCTTCTTCCTCCAATGCATCGCTCTCTGCCTTTACCGCTATCCCCAAGCTGCCTCCCGTCACCCCTCCTGGTGCTGCTGCTGCTGCTGCTGCTGGTGCTGCTGCTGGTACTGCTGGTGCGAGTAATGCTGCTGGTTCCCCTGCTGCCGGCACCACCACTGGTCTTCCCGCAATCAACATCACTGCAGGACCAACCAACCCCACATCAACCCCACCCTCCTCCACCACCACCCCACCTACTTCCCCAACCGCTGCCGCCGCCGCCGCCGCTTCCGCTGCTGCTGCTGCCGTAGCTGCTGCTGCCACCTCTGCTGTTTCAACCGCAGCTGCTGTTGCATCTAACGTCACAGCGACAGCCCAAGGCGCAACAGGCACTCTGGTCACCCGTGCTCCCATCCCTCCAGTCCTTTCAAGGCCCAAAGTCCCAGCCTTTGCACGAGCAGCAGCAGCGGCGGCAAGAGGAGATGCGAGCGCAGCGGGAGTAGCAGGAGCGGCAGCAGCGACTGCAGCTGCTGGTATCGCTCCCAACAACCCATACCGCCACCGTCCGCACCGGTACCCCCGCTTCCCTTACGGCTCGAACAGTGTCAACGACTCTGCTTCTGGTACAGGCGCTGCTGGTGGTGGTGGTGGTGCTGCTGCTGGTTCTTCTGCTGCAGGTCATGGTGTGAATTTCGGGCTTTATTCCGAGAGCGCGTGTGAGATGGGTCCAGGGCATTTCTCAGGTGAGGAGCTTCTCTCTTGGGCTCTATCTCGAGAGCCAGACGAAGCCTTGCTTCCCAAGGCCACTATGACTCTAACCGCTGTGACTGTAGTGGAGGCTTTCAGCCTGTCTGCGGCTGATTTGTGCTTCATAGCGTCACATTTCCGGTTCCAGTTGAGAGATAAGAAGCTGAGAGCGCTGATTAAGTATTACTCGCCGCATTGGAGGACTTGGGCTGCTGTTACCATACAGCTTGCTTGGCGGCGGCGGCAGGCGGGTCGGGGACCGGTGATGAGGTATGTGGAAAGAGGGCGGGAGGTTCGAAGGGGTGGAGAGGGGTCTGGGAGAGGCAGGATGCGCGAGACTGGAGGGTCTGGGATGAGGGGAGCGGGAGGTTTGGGAGGAGGGGGGGTTGAAAGGGGAGGAGGAGGAGGAGGATTGGGAAGAGTGGGAGAAGGAGTTGGGGAGGGGGAGGATGGGGTGGAGGAGATAGAGATGATTGAATCAGTGGCTATTAAAGAAAAGGACACCAGGGGAAGGGCCATGTCAGGGCAAGGGAGGGACAACCAGCAGCAGCAACAGCAGCAGCAACAGCAGCAGGAGCATAGAGCTGTTTCCACTGCTGGTCCTTTCACTGGTACTACTGCTATTGTGCCTCCTGGTGCCTCTGCCGGTGCTTCTGCTGGTGCCTCTGCAGCCGCTACTGCTGCAGCTGTGGCCTTCCTAAAACCATCTATGCATTCAGAGCAGCACAGCTCGAGATCACCTCATCCCCATCAGAGCCTCCCTCCACATGCCCTTCACACACCTCCTCCTGCTGCTTCTGCTGGTGCTACTCGTGCCCCTGCTGCTGCTACTGCCGCCGCTGCTGCTGCTGCTCCTGCTGCTGATCCTAATGCCATGGCTACCATTCAACCATCCTCTACCACTGCTCCTTCTTCTGCCACCTCCTCCACCCCTGCAGTCTCCGCACCTGCCACCATCGCTGCTGCTGCTGCTGCCGCCGCTCCTCCTCCTGCTTTTACCGCTGGTAGTGCTGCTGCTGTTGGCGATGGGGTTGGTTCAACTGCTGCTGCTGGTGGCGACAGTGGTGGTAGAGCAGCAGCAGCAGCAGAGGAGGAGAGGACACAGGAGCGCATGCGCCTATACACCACCATGTTTGCCGCTCCCCCTAAGCCCGCTGGGGATTGACATAGAAATTGGTGTAGGTTCTCTTTGCGTCGACTCCAAAGGTGTGATTTGAGATGACTTGGAGCGCTTACATTATCCATCATGTTCGCTGCTCCACCCAGGTCAAGCCAAGCCCACTGGTGAGTGGCAATGGAGGTTTTGAGGCGCCTCAAGTGTGACAATATGGTGGGGGTCCGCTCACGGTGGCGGATGGAGTGTGGAGGGGAGAGATCACAGATTGCGATCGCCGATCACAGAGAATTTGCATGCCAAGGTACCAGTAACGTTGGATGGAATGGAACCCCATCGCGGCCTGAAATACCTAACGTTGAAAATCAGGTTCTGGAACAGGTTGGGCATGCGGGGCAGAAAGGGGCGGAAAGGGGTGGAGAGATGATGGAGGTGAGGAATTACTGTGTTATGTGGTGCGCTTAAGTTCTGAGATTTTGTGCCTGGCCTGGTTATTTAGGTGTACCGTACCTGTCTGCTTGCTCAGCTCCGGCCCTCCCCTTGTTCCTTCCCTACTTAGCGCCTTTGATACATTGTTATTTTATTGAAATTTTGTTACGTTAAAAATCTTTGTACTCGACATACGCCTGTGGCATAACCATACATTGCACTTAGGGTACATTTGGGGGGAAAACATGTCACAAAGGCAGTGTACCACCCTGCACCGCATTACACCTAAATATCAAATGTTTTCACCGCACTGTATCTAGTCATTTGACATGACTTCCCCCGAATGCACCCTTACCGTATCACTGCATGCAGATGACAGAACGTATTTCATTTGAAGGTACACTAGGTACACAACGGAGCACGAGAAACATTGCCTTCAAACGAATCCTCTTAAAGCAAGGGTGCACTTTCCTAGGGGTGGTTTTTGGGGGGACTCTTACCACGTTGTGGCGGAGTTCCGAGTGCGTTTGCCCCATGATCCGAAGGGCTTGGGCGCAAGGCTCCGCCGCATACGACACGGCCAGCCGCCCACAATTCCGCGCCCACCTGACCGTGAAAAATGTGTTCCAACCAACCTGCCCTGACCCTTTGTGCCAGTGATGTTTGTCGCAAATGACATGTTTCGCCCAGGGCTCTCGCTATCAGGGTAAAATACCCTTTTTGCACTGACTGGCGGCCGCTTTTTATCAGTTACCCTTTCACAGGCAGGGTAATGGATTTTTTACCCTAGGCCAGAAAGTGTAAGTTTTTTTTCACCCTTTGAAAAACAGCGTAAGTAATTCATTTCCCTGACTGTACACTATACGATCTGAGCCACACTGTTACGGAAAGCTCCGAAGCGTGACGAAACACTATCTTGCCCATGCAAAATGCTGCTAAGTGCTAGACTCGAACTTACGACTTTCGGATCCCATTCGATATCGAACAAACTGAGCCACTACGTGCTGATGCGTACGCACTATATTTTATGTATTACAATTTTAAACCAAAATTCCCTGGCCCAACAGACTAACTTTGTTTTTACCCTGCTTTTGTCAGGGAAACAAATTTTTTACCCCACACATCAGGGTTGACTATACCTAGAACCCTGATTACTAAGGGTGGCCCAAAACGAATCTGAAGCCCTGGTTTCGCCATCGTAACTCTTTGGCCGACAAGTGACGACCGCCGGTCGCATGGCCGGTTGCGACCAACTGGTCTTCCTTGCGTCGTTATATGCTTTAACTCGGTTTTTTTTTTGCTGCCACCTTAAAGCTGCAGCACGTGTGTTCCTTTATACCTTTGATGTTATGTGTTTTATAAATAACATGAGTTCAAGTGTAGCATCCTACGTTTGCTCATTGTGTTTTATAGTCATTGTTTACCAACTGTATGTGTTCTGCACACGTGGCCATGGCAACAGTTGTTGTCAGAGTCCCAAGGCTGCAAGAGCCAATCAGCGTCTAGTAGGACCGTATCCCAACTGTTGTTTTTTGGCGGGAGAATCATCCAGCCCAGGGTTGGATGACCAGATCTGGACACGGGCTTCTGTGTGTGGTGGATGGGTATGAATAGATGTTTTCGTGCTCATTTGCTCCTTTTCATTTGCATTTCATGTTCCGCAAGCTCTTTGAGATCTTTTCTTCCAGCACCTGTTAGTCCACCAGCGTAATCTTTTAAGCCTGCTTGGCCCACTGGCATAACATTGGCGATCCTCGACATAGTGACGTAGGTCGTATAGAGTGGGTTTTTTTTTGGGTCAGCCCGGTTAGGATAACTGCAGTCGTACTTGTTAGGTCGCATATGTAGGCGCAGATGTGTGTGGTATAATATTTTGTCGGTAGAACTGTTTGTATTTGCCCGGAACAATTGTCATAGGTCGTCCGCTCTTGTAGGCGGACATCTTCGACGTTAGGCTTCTTTTATCGGTAAAGGTATTCGCTCCCAATCCATAATATCGTCGAACCCACGAAAGTTATGTACAAGCATAAGGGTTCCGTAGATGATTATATCCGTATAATGGTAGGAACTTAGTTTCGTTGTTTCGTTGTAGAGAATTAAAGCGGTAAAACAAAGTGTGACAGAGCTATACGGTACGGGACAGTCAAGCGACCCTGTATACGCAAGTTGTAGGCGCAGATATATGTCAGATTTATATGACATAGTTTCTGTAGGCTATAGTGGGGTAGCACATATGGGGTACAGGGTTTCTAGGGTTGTATTTGTACCCAATCTTCCATAGTCATTTCATTCCTGTTTTCCTTGTTTCACATGGTATAGAGCGGGTCCTACCTTAGGACCGTTTTTTTTAGGGCCCACCGAAGCGCGCCCCGAGGCGCGCCTTTTTTTAGCGACCCCTCGGGTCGCCTTTTCCCTCGCGGCCCCGCTGTCCCTCAGACGCGGCCCCGCCACCTCTCCTGATCGCGGCCCCGCCGCCTGTTTGACGCGGCCCCGCCGCCTCCCCTGACGCGGCCCCGCCGCCTCCCCTGACGCGGCTCCGCCGCCTCCCCTGACGCGGCCCCGCCGCCTGTTTGACGCGGCCCCGCCGCCTTCCCTGACGCGGCCCCGCCGCCTCCCCTGACGCGGCTCCGCCGCCTCCCCTGACGCGGCCCCGCCGCCTGTTTGACGCGGCTCCGCCGCCTTCCCTGACGCGGCCCCGCCGCCTCCCCTGACGCGGCTCCGCCGCCTCCCCTGACGCGGCACCGCCGCCTCCCCTGACGCGGCTCCGCCGCCTCCCCTGACGCGGCCCTGCCGCCTCCCCTGACTCGGCTCCGCCGCCTCCCCTGCCGGCCCGCCGCTGCACCTGCCGGCCCGCCGCTGCACCCAGCAGCCCGCCGCCTCTCACGGCCTCGCCGCTGCACCTGCCGGCCCGCCGCCTCTAACGGCCTCGCCACTGCACCTGCCGGCCCGCCACTGCACCCTACGGCCCGCCGCCTGCACCTGCCGGCCCGCCACTACACCTGCCGGCCCGCCACTGCACCTGCCGGCCCGCCGCTGCACCTGCCGGCCCGCCGCTGCACCTGCCGGCCCGCCACTGCACCGGTCAACCCGCCGCTGCACCTGACGGCCCCGCCCCTGGATCTCCTGGCCGAGCCGCCCCAGCAGCCGAACCGCCCGTGAGCCGAGCCGCCCGACGACGAGCCGCCCGGGCCCCGAGCCGCCCTGCCGCCGAGCCGCCCGGGAGCCGAGCCGCCCTGCACCCGAGCCGCCCAGCCGCCGAGCCGCCCGGGAGCTGAGCCGCCCGGGAGCCGAGCCGCCCTGCGCCCGAGCCGCCCAGCAGCCGAGCCGCCCTGCACCCGAGCCGCCAGGTCGCTGAGCCGCCAGGTCGCTTAGCCGCCTTTCTGCATACCTACTCGACCTGCCCTGCCTGGTGAGCACAGTCCCACTGACACTGCGAGCTCTTTCCCTGCTGCTTGCACTGCGTCGCTGTCGTCGCCATGGCTACCCCTAGTGTCCTAGCTTTTGACGCTGAGGGTCGCGCCATTGATTTTGAGGTCTGGTTAGACGACCTGCAGCTGTTCTTACAGTGCGACAGGGCTGACGACCTTTCTCTCTTTGATCTCACCTCTGGCGCCTC